CGGCGACGTCGGCGGCGACGGCGGTCGCCGTCGAGTACGTCCGACGGCCGTTTGGTAGTGTAGTGGTTGTATCGTGCAATTGATATATATTAGTAAGTAAGTAGTACATGCTCTCTCTCTCTCTCTCTCTCTCTCTCTCTCAGCATGTATCTGTGAATTGTGTGTGCATGTGTGGCTCTCTATTTATTTGTTCATGTAACTTTGTCTCTCTCTCTCTCTCTGTTTATTTGTGCATGCGCGTTTGTGCATTGCTCTCTTAATGCATGCATGACTGTGTTTCTCTCTATCTAACTCTCCTTGTGATTGGATATGTGAGTGTTTCTTATTCCCTCTCTCCCGTCTGTCTGTTGGTTTCTGTGTGTGCCCTTGAGTTTTCTGGGCTCAGAGACAGAGAGAGAGGCTTCTCGCTAATACTATTTTCTTGACTTGTCCATTGAATGCAGGCGCACCCATGGCTCTCAGATTCAGAGAGAGAACAGCTGTGCCGCCTCATGGACTGCCAAAAACTCTCCCTCGAAGCATGCACCCATGCGGCACAAAATGAGAGGCTCCCTCTAAGAGTTGTTGTCCAAGTTCTCTTCTTCGAACAATTACAATTAAGAACCTCCATAGCTGGCTGCTTCTTAGTATCAGATAATCTCGAAGGCTCAAGGCCTTTGTTAAGAAGCGGAATTGCACCATCAGGAGAGGGAGGGTGGGTTAGTGCAGTGAAAGAAAACCAGGTCTTGAAAGTGGGTATGGATAATATGAGGATGAGAGTTTCAGAGCTTGAAAAGGAGTGCTCAAGCATGAGGCAAGAGATTGAGAAATTGGGCAAACCGAGGGGGCCATGGAATAACGTCTCGAAGAGGTTGGGTTTCAGGTTTAAGTCTCAAATATGCAGTGCTCAAGAGGGTTCAGTGAGAAGTCATGGCCGGTCGCCTTCTTCAAAGCATTCCAAGCACAAGAAGAGCTCCTCCTTCGATGGTTGAAGTCTCTCTCTCTCTCTTTCTTTCTCTCTCTCCCCCGCTTTCTTAGAGGCTGCTGTGCCCAAAAGGAGTTCTTCCATTGATGTATAAGGCCTCTCTCTCTCTCTCTCTCTCTCTCTCTCGTTCGTTGTCGTGTGTCGTGTCGTACGTAGTGTGTACGTCGTACGTTCGTTAGTTGTTAGTTGTTGTTGTTGGTTGGTAGTGTAGGTAGTGTAGGTGTAGTAGTTAG